GTTCCCGCTTGCGTCTATGGAATAATTTATTCACGCGTCGCGGCGGAAGAACGATCGCGGTGTAAACACGGCACGAAGCAACGGACCAATCGAACGTAGTTGCCCCTCGTTCACACGCGAATCGGAGGAAAAAGGAGACACAAGCACGGCGGTCTCGTGGCGATAACGCGAGCAGATCGAAAGCCGAGTGCCAGCTCGAACCAGACACCGAGACCTTTTTCACCGCGACCTCGCGGATCTAACGCTAACGGTGCCCGATAAGGATCGCGGGGACTGTACGGCTAGCTCGGGAACACGGTGGACGCTTGTGGTCCGAAATAAGCTGTCGCGAGCTCGCGTCAAAGCGAGACTCTCTTTTGGCGGATTGAAAAGCGGTGGGAACAGCGCGACTCGGATAAGTCGAGTGTTAATCGGCAGGCTGAAAGGAACGGGGACTATACACTCCTCTTCTTCTTTGGCCGAGAGCTTTCCGCTACTCGAAAGCACTCCGAGTCGGTGGCTCGCGACGTTAACGCGGTTGTAAAATATTTTTCCTTCGCCGGGGACGAGCACTCGCGAGCGATATCGAATTTCGAGAATGCCAGTAGTAGTTACTCGAGTAAAATCCGGAATGTTAATGGACACCGCGCATCCAGCTCGACCCACTTAGACCGGACTCTGCCGTGGATTTTTACGCGTAACGGCAGGTGTATTCGGCTGGTTCGGACACTCGGCCTCGTGGAGTTCGATGCAGCCTTTCGACGCGAGTTCACGGTGGCAATGCGTCGGAAACTGCTGCAGCCGCAATGCAGCTCCGGTGCAAAGAAAAATCGTTCGTGGCCGGATGCACTTGTTCCTTTTTTCTTCCTCTTTTTTTCCCTCTCTCGATACTTTCGCTTACGCTATACCGTGCGCCGCGCGCGTAACCAAGTCGCTAATTGGTAAATTTTCGGCACGCGTGGATATCGATCATCCCCCCGTGGATTTTCTTCCGGCCGGGACTCGGTTCTCTTATCGAGCAGGCAGACTCTGTCTGGCCGACGTGTAACTTCGAGTCCTTGCCGGTGCAGCAAGTCACGTGACGCTTCGGTGGTGCATAAAAAATCAGGCTGCGGGGAGTCTGTGGGAAGGCAGATCGACCCGATTAGATAGGGATCTGCGAAAGCTGACACAACGAGCGTAACGGGCAGCGGTGGAACGAATGGAGGCAAAGCTGCCAGGCCGATGGCGAGTTTAGCGTCGCGCCACTCGGATCCCTCTTCCACTTGCCCGGCTGACTCTGCAGCTTCGACTACTACTACTATTACTGCTACTACTGCTATTACTACTACGACTACTACTACGCGGGATCGCGTACTCTACGGGAAAAATTCCGATCTCTCGGATGAGACAGGGAAGGGTAAGATAGAGAAAGATTCGGTTAGCCGATGGAAAAGCGTGCAGCTTAATCTGGCAGAATGGGAATCCGGCAACGAGGCTGGTCACGCGATGTGCCAGCCGAAATGGTATAAACAGTTACGTGTCAGCTGACACAAAGCCCTAGAAAAGGGGCCGTAGATGGGGACGGAGGAAGGTGAACGTGGCGCTAGTAAGTCGTAGAGGATAGGGAAGGATAGATTAACCTGGTTAGATAAGGATCCGAGGAGAATGTGGCAGCATGATAGAGCCTCGAGGGTTAGCTGCAGGTGCCACGACGACGACGACGACGACGACGACGACTACGACGGGGTTGCCTCCCCTTCCATCCAACCGAGTCTCCGAAATCCTCCTATAGTTCCTAATATCGTGCCAGCGTTTAGATAACTTTCGTTGCTCGCCCTTTTCGCCAAATTTTTCAGTTTGCCTGCGCGAAAGAGCGCGGAAAAGGTGGCGAAATAACGGACCACCGAGGCAGAGGCAGAGGCAGAGGCAGCGTGCCTTTGTTATTCGGAATTGCAGACGCGCGCAGATTCACCGCGATTGCAGTCTCGCGCGAATAAAGGCCAACGTCCTTATCGGATCGTTGATCTCGGGCTCTTATCGATATCGAGATGTACCTCTTTCTCCTTCTTTTTTCCGCAACGTCCACGGCGTTGTTATTATTACTCGATCTCGAAGATACGTTCGTATCCGTGATTGCGTTTATCTCGCGATGTCTATCTCGTTGTCGGGATATAAAAGCGAGCGATACTCGCGGCAATTGCCGGCGAGAGGCTGACGAGATTCGAGCCAGCGATTTAGCTGCGTCTCGGGCAAGTTGGCGAGGATTAACCGAAATGGTGGAGAGAGTTAATTAGCGCGAAAACGTGACTTTGCAACTACGCGGTAACGTAATAGAGAATCGCGGGGTTGCAGCCGTTGCACCTTCCAGCGGGAAACCTTCACCCCGGCCGTTTATGCCAGCCGAGGGAATTTCGCTGCGTAGATGTTCGGCAAAGATTGCGGATGACTCGGGCGACCGAGAGCAGCCGCGAGATCGCAAAGGGAAAAAGGGGGGAAAAAGGGGGGGAAGGAAAAAGAGGGAAAAAAATATCGACTCGACCCTGTTTCCCGCGACCGCGTCTGAATTTCATCTCACTTTCAGCGACGCGTACGCGATATGTATAGGTTCTCGATCGACGCTGTCGCGACACACAGACGTTGTATTAACGGCGCATTGATTCGGTCGCGAGAAGCGAAAAATAGTCGGACAACGGGAGGAAATGCATAATTGTGGAATCGAGCGTAGTTAGGTCACGGCTCCTATTTTTAGTCCCTACTGATTGCGAGTTCAAACGAAAGCAAAGGCCACCGGCGTGTGTCCAACGTTTGCTTTACGCTCGTTGCTTCACCGTCTGCCGCCGCTTCTTTCTCTTCCTTCTCTCCAGCACACGCACGCCCATTCTCTCTCTCTCTCTCTCTCTCTGCGGAGTTTTCGACGCGACCCTTGATCCGACAAAGCTTCGGCGCGCGAAGCCACGGGGAAACGAGCTTGCACGCGCACCGAGCACGCGTCAATTTTCTTTTTGTCACGTGTATAACCTTGTCATTGTTTTCTCGACGCCCTCGACGACCGTGAGAGTGTGCTGCACTCCCTGAGAGCGCTAAATATATTATGGGTCGCGACGCGCGTGAAACCGTGCGAACCAGCCTGAAAAGAACGCAGCCGAGTGTCTTCCTCGATCAGCATCTCGCGATCGAAGAGATCTCTGATCGATCGAGGCGAGTCGTTATCGTAGCGGTAGCGGTCCAAGGTTCTCCCGATACGAATCCACTCCAAGTAGATATTGTATCTAGCCTTTGTTTTTCAAATTTCTCAAATTCCTCGACTCTTTCTGTCAAAAATAAGCAAATGTATCGCGATATCGCGCGGTCCATCGGCTCGTTGGTATATTTCCATTAACGGCGTGGCGAAATTTTTCTCCGACCAAGGGAGCGGAGCGAAATTCTCTTACGAGAGAATATAGGAATTCTTTCGAGGATCTTTATTTTCCACGGACTCGGCTATCCACGTCCCACTCCGTTGCCACCCGCTCCCTCTCTCTCTCTCTCTCTCTCTGTCTCTCTGCTGCCGTGAAAAGTGCGTGGAATATTAAAACCCGGAGCCCGCGAGAAGCTGGGAAGAAAGGGGGTGCCGTGGAGGAGGAAGAAAAACGGATAAGGACGAGCAATCTCTTTCCGCGCGAGCGATAAAGCATCTCGGGGAAGAAAATTTGGAGCCGGAACGAGGATCAAGATCAAGATCGGGGCGAAAATAGAAATGGAAAGGTAATTCGGGGGAAGGAAGGAGTCGGAAGCGAGTGGTAGAACGGCGACCTTCGACGTAGAACCGTGCAACGAGATTTACCGATTGACCTCGAACGCGAAAATCCCGTGTTCGATCTAGCGGGTGCATCGGAGGGGCTCGAGCCTATAGAAATTTATCAGCCGAAGCTGGCGGACCTACGTTGCCATTAATCCGTGTCACGTATACCTTGATATCCGTTCGTTGATCTTATCGTTGATCCGGTAGCTTTGTCGTCGTAACTCACGCGGACTAATAGGACTATTGTGGGGCAATCTATGCTTAAAATCGATCTCATCCCCCTGCCAGGCTACGCAGGCCTCGCAGGTAAGGGCGCGGATTTTTTCTCTCCTTTCGTTTCGAGGCTAGGATAAAGGAAATAATAGCCACTCGGTCTACGATAAATCCACGCTTTCGCTATTTCGATCGATCTTTGCCGCGTCTTTTTCCTTTTTTACACCTTTGCGGTTTATTCGCCGCTCCGGCCAACGAGGTAGCAGCGTGGTTCGGGGCTCGCAACCGCTCGATCAGTCGATGCCCCTAATTGAAAATCTTTCCCCTCATTCTCGCACCGAAAGTACCTCCGTCTCCTCGAAATCTCCAATTTTTACCAATTCTCCCGAATTTTCCCGAATTTTTGCAACGACGCGGCGGTCACGGAGAAAAATGAAATGGGAAGAGGAAGGCGAGTCGTCGCGACGACGGGTTCGCAGTCGAGAAATTTCGCTGGAAATTTTGCAAGGCGACAACATCAGGGCGCCACTATCACGAGAGATCGTTTTTCTCGTGTTGTCCGGAACGCTCACGAGGAAAGCGCGTATCCCGTTTGTCCGCGATGGTGGACGAAAGCACGACCGGCTGGAACGCGACGCGTCGTTGGACCGGATCCTGGGGAAACGAAACGGACAAGGACAGGTCGGAATCGCGGTGATCGAGAGCGTAGAGGTAATGGAGAAAGAGTGCGGTTCGACGCCGTGCAAGGACGAAACGTGGACGGAAATCGATCTTTTTTCGAGTACGAACGGCCGTGCACGAGTTATCGCTTCATCGGCGGCTTATCTCGCGCTATCCAGCCAACGTTTGCACGAGGGAAGGAATTTCTTCGCGATTTATTGCCAGCTTTTTCCCCCAATTTTCGCTCCAACGTAAACCCTCGTTGACCCCCTGTGCCACCTATCGAGCTCGGATCTCGCGAATCGGATGCTGCGAATTTACGCGACAATCCGCCGCGGAGGTAAATAATCCGGACGCGTAGAAACGTGCGTAATGCGAAACTTACGAATTTCCAAGAGAGTAAGCACCGTCGTAGCTTGCCCTGCGTTTGCGTCCAGCTCGGCAGCGACGACCACGACGAGAACAGCGGCTACCAGCAGCGGAAGACGAGGTTCCCCAGCCGAAACGCGCGTGCTGCTTCGGGTCAACTCTGATCGTTTCTACCGTTCGCCTCTTTTTCTCCCACGGATTCTCTCCACCCTGTCCTCTCTATCCCTCTCCCCCTCTCTCTCTCTCTCTCTCTCTCTCTCTCTCTCTCTCTCTCTTGCTTTTGCCTTCTTTCCTTCTCACGTTCTTCGATTCTTTTCGTTATCTTTGCGCTCGATGGCTCTCGGTCGACGCGAAATTTTCGAGAACACCACTCCGATTACGATTCCCGTGTATTCTGCGAGCGATCAGCCGTCAGAATCTCGAGGTTCGTGATCGGTGGCGAGGTCGCGAGCAGGATTTCGACGGCGTAAATCGCGAGGACGAGAGATATCGGAAGAACCACGCGAAGAAATAGGCCGGTTAACCGTTCAGGCCGCACTGACGAGTCGAGCCGTGGCAAGTAAGGGTGAACTGGCCTGGCATCCCCTCTCGGCTTCACCCCACTCGCTCCCGCCCCTCTCTCCTCTTCAACCCCTAGTCCCTCCCCTCTTCCTTCCGCTCCCTTCTCTCTCCCCCCGCTCGCTCCTTTATCCCGCTTTTCCTTTTTCCCCTTTTTTCCCTATTCTTTCCTTTTTTCTTTCCCTTTTTCTTTCCTTTTTTCTTTCCACGCCGAATACTCCAACGGCTACTCCACCACCGCCACCTGCACACGTTTCCCTCCTATAGCTACGCTCCTCTCTGCGCCTATCCTCTCTCTCTCTCTCTCTCTCTATCTCTCTCCAACTTTCCAAATTTTCATCCCACCGTATCGCGCCAGCGTTGTTAACGCCAGCGAAACTTTGCCCGCCGCGCGTTCGCATCCCCTTCCGGGGAAAATGCCTTTCCGGCTATGGCGGAATTTCGCAAACGCGTCTGGACAGCTGCATCCCCGACGATGGCAAAAAGAATCGACTCGCACCCAATTCCCCGAGCTCTCTATCTATCTCTCTTTCTCTCTCTCTCTCTCTCTCTCTCTCTCTCTCTCCTCTACCCTCGGCCGGTCCCGCAATGCCAGACCAGCATCTCCCGGATCCCGTTTCTCCTCGTTCCCCGACGCCTTATCCGCTCGCGATTTACTACGTATCGATAGTTTATTTGCCGGCTTACCTCCGGCCTTGCGTCCGGAACCTTCGTTCCCGTTGCTCCGATTTCAGCCTTCCAATAACCAAGTATTTACGCCATGACGATCGATACCGCGCGAATTTCATGGCCACCTAAAATAGCCTTTTCGGATTTATGGAAATTCGCGCTCCGTTCGTGTCCCGATAATTACCATCGTCGATCAGCCCGAGGATCCTGCAACGCGTCGCGATTATTCGCCAATTCCTGCCACTAGACTTTGTCTCGTCTCTCGTTATCGCGACGGAATCGTGCGTTTCGGAGCATCAGTCGTCTCTCGAACATCGACAATATCGTCGAGATTAAGCCTTGTTTTTTCGTTACTTGACATTACGAATCGAGCAAACGGTCTTCACCGATAGCTGCAATAATCGGATAAGAAATCACGCAGCTGGAGTACACGATATCGACTGGTATATAAGGAACGATCGACGATGGGATCTCGGTATTCTTGGAAGTACGCTGGACGCGTGATTTATCGATTAAACGCGAGTATCTCGTAGGATCGGATCGCGGAAGACCTCGCGTTCCTCGCCGATTTCCGTCTCTTTGCAGCAAGATGCGTCTTCTCGTCGCGGTGTTAGCCTGCGTGCTGGTCGCTTGTCAGGCACGCGTGCCCAACGTAAACGGTGAGTGTAACGCTTTCCCTCGCGAGTTACGCACAGATCGAGTCGAAAATGCTTTTTCTCTCGCGATTCAAGAGGCCAACCTGTCCGGTGGTGTGTTGGACACCAGAGGAGGTCAACTGGTCGGATTCCTCGAGAAATTTAAGGACAAGCTCAGGCGAGGAGACGACCACCTCGGCATCATTCCCGTTCTCGACCCCCTGAAACAGGATCACTTGGACGTAAACTTGGACCAGGAGGCAGTACGGTAAGCGTACGTTTCGCGTTTCGATTACACCCGAGCCAACTATCGCTTTCTTCGTGTTCGAACAGATTGCGTGGATACCTGGACAACTTGGTCGCGACCGGATTGTCCGAGTACAAAGTGAATCGTGGCGATTTCACGATAATCGGTATCAAAGCCAACGTCAGCCTGCTTTGGGAGAAAATTGACATTGCCGCCAAGTACAGCGTGAATGGAACACTCGCCGATTACATCTCCGTGTACGGGAATGGGAACCTAGCGTGAGTAAGACTTTACGTCGAGCAGCGCGAGCTGGAAAAATCCGCGTGGATCCGGCATGCTTCGTCTTTGAACTCCTCGGCGAGTCTCGCAGGTCTTCCTCGAGCGTGGACGAGTAGAACGGTAAAGCTTGGAACTGCAGCGGATCTCGAAGAGGAGCGTGTGATCCGTCGAGAACGCGTTCGCGGTCGGTTTTGCAGTTCCCTAACGTTAGTAAAGCAGTATTACCGAAACGGAGTATCAGCGGTCCCTGCCCTAGATTTCTACAGCGAGGCTAGCTGCAGCTCCACGCTCGTTTCCTCGGCGTATCGATTCCACGGGATTTCTCTATCCGCGATTCGTTTCCTTTGAACCCTAGCATCTCGATCCAAGGCCTGATGGTGTCGGTGGACCTGAAACTGTCGGTGAAGGACAAGAAATTATTCGTCTCGCAGCTGGTACTGCACGCGCGCGTGCAAAAGATGGACGTGAGTATGCCGGTGGAGCTGTAACCACGCGCGTATGCCAATTCGCGGATCTTTGCAGTGCGAGATCACGGGATTGTACAACGACGAGGAGTTGTCGGCGGTTCTGAGCAAAGCCATCGGCGAGATACTACCCGGACTGATCGACGACTACCAGAACGAGCTATCGGTAGCCGCGAGCCCGCTGGTCGCCGATCTATTGAACGACGTGTTGAAGAACATGACGATAAAGGACTTGCTGGACATGATCAGCGGTGGAAATTAGTCTCCGATATACAAGCGAGCAATAAAAAGAGAATCTTTGTCTATCCCTGCCGTTGAACCCCGTTCCAGCGATCGAGTGCCGCGTGTCTGTGAATTCGGCATGTTTCCTGCCTCGAAGCAGGCGAAAGAAAAACGTTGCAGCTTTCCGGCTGGAGCGTGGAAAATTCGCAAGGGGGCCGATAAATCCTCGGATTTTCTCGTCCGCCCATCCGATTCGCCCGCTTGCCTTTCGCGTCTAATCCTCTCGAGATACCCTAAATCCGCGAGGCACTTTTAACCGGCGCAATTAGTCGGAAATCGATGGGAAAGCGATGCAGCGAGAAAGATAAACTGCCTGGCCGGCAATGGTGTTACGGTCAATTTCGCCTCTCGTTCCCTTTATCCGCGCGATACTCCGAGCCGAGAGATTCCGGGGCAGAATTCGAAGATAAACGCGAAGACGATGAACCGAAAATACTTGGTCGAGCTTTATCGCGGAGTCGATTAAACGAAATCCCGCGAGTGACTAATCGAATCGCGCGTGTATCTGCTTTGTAAACAGTCTGGAGTATCCGAGTATCGGACGCGTATCGAAGTTTCGAACCGGAAGTGTCCGGGGAAAATGAAAAATCCGTCAGATACGAACCGTGAGAGCGAAACTCTCGAGGCAGAAGGGAGGCGTTTAGGCGAAAATTTCTTCTTCTCGCGATGCATGCACGAGCGGTGACAAGAGCAACAAGTGTCTGTTCGATGGAGCTAATTTATCGGATAACGGATTTCGGGGAGATCCGCGCTGGATCGTCTGGACTCGTGGGCAGGTGAAATCGAGCGAAGAATTCGACTGTTGGCCGTTATCGCGGCATAATTCTTCCAAGAAGCGCGATGATGTAACCGCGATTAACGCGTACAGCGTAACGAGATCGTGCGAGCGTACGATGACGCGTTTGCGAACGGGCACACGCGCGATTCGCACGGCAATAGAACGTTTGTCACCGATTATCATTTTCTCCGTTGGCTTTCTCTCTGCTCGCGCTTCGACGTATCCGAGTTCCGGTGGTGCGGGGCAGGAGAATTAAAATTCCCTCGGACGCGGCACGCGCGGAGATTTAATCGAGCGCGTGGCGTGTCGCGGCAGCGAGTCGCGAAGGGTCGAGGGAAAGCGGATAATTCGCGGGGGAAAATAGGGCGGGAAAATTGGAAAAGAAGCGGTGGGTGGGAGGGCGAAATAGGAACGGTGGAGGTTGGCGCAGCGGTGGAACAGGCGAAACACGGCTTGCTGCGAGGGACACCTGTGAATCTCGCGAAAGTAAAAACGACCCGTACCGTCTAAGGACTAATCTCGTAACGGCGGCTTCTTTTTTCACGACGTTCGGCCGCGTGACACCCGGTATGTGCAGGCCAGGAACGCTCGTAAGTGGCGTGTGTGCCGTGTAATTACGGATTCTCGGTAAAGCGAGGAAAACGGGTAACATACCGCGAGGCGTTTCTCATTTCCGTTGAAACGTCGATATAGCCGAGACAGAGAGATACGTACGTGGACAAAAGTCCGCCTCTGCGCGTCGCGTGAAAACGCTTTACCGGCTGTTAGCGCGCGTGTCCGATCACCGTCGGCCAGTTTGTCGCTATTTAGATACGCTCGCGATATATTCGCGGGGATAAAACGAGGAAGAGATCTCGCGAGCGAGCGTGTCGGCGCTCGCTATCTGGACCGAGAACGAGACGATTCGAGCGCGTACGGTGGAATCGATAACATAGCGGTCGGGTGCTATGACCTAGCCGGGATTAATGCCGGCGATACGAGACGCTTGTTATACGGTTTTAATTCCACGAGATTTCGATAAAGTATGCCGGTCATACGCAGCCTTTCTCGTCTCTTTCGACGTCTCTTCCGAGAACGCGCGTATCGTCGTCTTAATCAGGAAACTCGTACTGCCTTCGTGGCTGGATGCGCCTTAACGCCATTAATTAAGGGGAGATTAATTTCGTTACGTACACCGTGATCTCGGAACTCTAATTGATAACGCGACTGTTCTTTGAAGCCCGGTTCGAGGGGTGACTCGATAATTCTGCAAAACGACCGGCGGAGACAGATAGCGGTCGCTGCCAGTGTCCAGGCTTGCTATCTCTCTTGTCCAAATTTTCTAAACGCTTTCTCATCCGTTCGCGAGATAAACCCGCCATCGAACCGACCTTCCATTCGGCTAGATTTCGTCGAAACGATCCAACCACGGGAAAAATATCGGCCACGCGGCAATCGCCGCTTTGAAGCTTGCTCTAAAGACACGTAACTTTGATGTCTACGACCCGCCGCGATCTGACCTCTGTGTGTGTGGGCATTCTCCTTGAGGCGCGGTGTCGTGTTCGCGATCTTTTCTTTCCGCGGAACGACCGTCGCGAATTTCCAGGCGAGAGAAATCGATCGAGCCGTGTACACGCGCGTGTACATCGATATCTGCCGTTCACCGGGGTCGCATCGATCGTTTAACCGTGAACGCGTATCGATGTACCGTAGAGCAAAGGGTTTGTTTCCAAAGGCAGGAGTGAAAGAAACTGGTTCTACGAGAGAGACTACACTCATCGCCGGCACGCATAAAAGTTTCTCCCATGTGTCGCCGTTGCACACACGCGAATGCGGGCCTGACTACGATCATCCGGCATAATCGTTGCCACACGACACGAAACGACTGACCGCATACTCGAATTCCCAGAATGCAAGTCAGCGTCGTCGTGTACACGTCTCTGCCAAATCGTAGACTGGATAAGCGAACGACGGTGCATAGAAGCGAGGAAAATCGCGGAAAGATGCACCGAGGCCGAGGAAAAGAAGATGGGAATTAACGCGAGCGCGAAATACCAATTTTAGATGTTATAAACAGCCGAGTTATTTTAACGCGTACGGGCACGATGCATCCTAACCTTATTATCGATGTACGCGATAAACTTGGAAATATGCTGCAAGGGTGAAAGAAAAAAAAAAAAGGAATGGGTAATTCGTCGAACAATATCCGAACCGATTGTCTCCAACGGAATCTTATTCGCGAAAATTATCTGGCGTTTATCGTATTCGCGGAAACCTCTAATCTAATTTCTTTCGAAGCCGAGAGGCAGCGCCGCGGTGCGTTTCGAACCGAGTAGTGGAAACGCGCCAGTTTTCTGCCAACGTGTTTACGAGTTACGCGCACCGCGAGTATCTTATTTCGCGTTACCTCGAAAAATATCAACATTCCTTGGTTATTTGTTTTCCCGCGTGTACGCGTACACACGCTGCTCGAATTGTTTACTTTCGAACGTGGAGTAAAAGCAAAGCAAATAACGCGAGATTCTCGTTCAAACATGTCCTTCCAGTTTCCTTACGAGCGTGTATCTTGTCACGGGTAACAAAGGAAAGATAATACGTAACCAACACCAAGTACGAGATATTTCCGGTTTATTAGACTCGACGCTTTAATTCGAACGAAATCGATGGCCTAACCTCCTTTACGGTCCAACGGACTAACTGGCACGTAACAGCAACGCGAGAACGCACTTAACGGATACACTGCATCGAGTTGATCCTGAAACGAGAGTTTCGTACGAGGTATATCGATTGCTTAATTCCAGAGAACAGTATCCGCTCTTCTACCCGTGTATTTGCGTCGAATACCATCACGAGGCAGAGAGACAGAGAGAAAAGCGACGAGGGGAAATTCGACTCGGAACGATAGGACATCGAGACGATACCGGAGATGGCGAGGAAAAGTCGAAAGAGAATATATAAAATATAAAAAGGATCGCAGGTATACCTTTTCGGTGGAAATACACGACTCGTGGGTACGGGCGACCGTAGTTGCACGGACGGACAGTCGGTGTCCCGTCGAGGATACCCGAAGGTAGCCGAAAGCAGCCGAACGGGCACGAGGCAACAGGCGGCTCGTTTTAAACCCGTGGCCTACGGGGAGTTTTCAAAGCACTGGGCTGACAGTAAGCCGTCGGCCTTCATAGCGCGTGTGTCGTTCGTACGTCGAATCACGGTCCGGAAAACATACGCTACGTTACGATCGTTCCCTCCACAGTCCTCGTTATATTCGTTCTTTTTCCGCTTCCAAGAAACGTTGGACTATATTCGCGGTTCGTTTCCGAGTGCAGTTTCATGGTATTCGTCGATGACGCAATACCGCGACGTTCGTCGAAAAATGTCGAATCTGGCGATACTTTGCGAAAAACATTGACGCGCGCGGTCTATGTTGGTTGAAATTGTCGGTGACGATGCGAAGGTCAAAAGGGATCGTCGTATAATCATCGGTGTGCCGTTGGAATTTCATGGAAAATAGAACACGAAGAAGGGAGGGAGAGAGAGAGAGAGAGAGAGAGAATGAGTTTCGTGGAAAGTGACTGAACGGTTAAACGATTTATCGGTTAAAGCGGGGAAAAAAAGACGCGCGTGGAGAGTTATTCGAAATCCCGAGTAAACACGCAGTTTCCACGAGTAGGACGAAAGTTTATGTTTGACGACAAATATCAAACGGATCGGTCGAGGTGACGCGAACGCGTAGTCACCAAAGTTCCCGTATTTGTTTTGGACGTTAACGGGGTGCCGACCGAAGGAGATCGGTTTTCCTTCGCGGAAAAGCCTACTCTGGATCGTAGGGGCGTAATTTTCAACCTGAGAACCCCCGGTCATGGCGGTTCTCGGATTCGAAAAGTACGCGATCTGAAACGTTTCCCGGCTTCTCGGTAAATTAGTTTTTCTACGAAATCTCAAGATGACGACACCGGTCGAGCGTGGACTCATCGTCTTGTCGTTCTTCACTGCGATCTGCCAGGCCAACGAACTTAAGGACTACTGTTCCATGCACAAGTTCGACAATTTGCCACCGGGTGGACTCAGGTTTACGAAGGAAGTCGTAACGACGGAATACGCGAACATCGGTGCGTTCAAAGCCCTTCATTGCTGTCTACGAGGATACAGGAGCATCGAATGGTGAGTGAAAGAAACATTCTTTTTTACCCTTTATTCGTATGCGAATCGCGTCGTTATCGCGAAAAATGCGCGCGAAAGAAAAATGCGACAAATCTATTCGGGTATCGAAATTTTTGTCGAGCGTATTTTGTCTGTTGGAGAATAATCGAGGAAGAAAACAGACGGCGGGCCGTGTGTTTCGCTTAGATTCTCGAGCGTGTATTGGTTTCGAGAGACGAACGAAGGTTAAACGATGCGTCCGATCGAGTCGATTCGAGTCGTAATTAATACGTCGCGCTCTCCATGACACGGCCTATTTCCATTTTCGAGCTATGCACGACGACGGCAACAACGACGACGACGATGACCACGATGTCGCGTCGACAAATTATTACGAGAAAAGCACGGATCCCGGCGATCTCGCCGACGGAGCAGAAACGTCGTGGAATTTCCCATAGTTTTATTTCGACGATGTATATATACCGAGTCACGCTTTCACGATTTGAATGGCATGCTCGACATTCGTGCAAGCTGATGCAATTTCTTGCCACTTTCTTGCCTCACTGGCCGAATACCTGGAACGGCGTATCTAGTCCATTTACGGAATACGTATTTTTTTCTCTCATCGTCGCGACGAAAATACGTTAAACCGGTTATTAGTTGGTCGTCATAGAGCGTCGTCGGAAGAGAGCGAGAGGGCGGAGAGGTTAGGTTCTCGAGTAAAAATATCGTCGTCGTCGTCGTCGTCGTGGTGTCGTATACTTTGTCCCTAAATCGGCGGTGTTGGGTTTGCGAGAGGCGCGCGTAACAGGTTTCCAGGAAAAACGATGGTCGCAACGAAGCGTGGCAAACGAGCCGATTGTCGGCCGATATTCGTAAAAAGGACGCTAAAGAAGCGATCGCGTTGGCATTGTGAGCGCGGCGGCGGCGAGCGGTCACGTCACTCGGTAATAACGTTTCTACGAAGCGCTTGTTTATTCCACGATAAATCTAGAAACACGGTACGAAGTACGAGATGGAAATCGCTGTAGGGGGTCGCGGTTCGAGACGCGTTCGACTGTCCCCTTCGTAACCGCAAGGCGAGCTAACAAAGACACGCTTCCGAGAAGCGACCTTCGAGGGTCCGACCGGCCGATTTGCCGAATCCCTTCCGCACCGGGAACTTTATTATTCTCGGGACAAAATGGCGCTGGCGGTGTATGTTGGGACCTCTTACCTCGACTCGCACTGCTATTGTACGCGTGCTCTCGGCGTGCTTCTCCAGGTGTCAAACGGTATATTTGTTCCACACGCATTCACCACCGGTCTTTCTCGGGAAGGAAAGGTTGCGTCGCGTCTGCTTCTCGAAAAGTCCAAGGGTTAACGGACATGTGGCCACGCTCTCGCTCCCGCTCCGTCCACACCTGTTACGTCTCTATCGAGCGTGTCCATCTAAAGCATGCCGCTTCCCGACGATGAACACGCACGAAATTATGCGGATGTTCGTGCGTGGGTCGTCCCGCTCTCTCTCTCTCTCCCTCTCCCTCTCTCTCTCTCTCTCTCTCCCTCTCCCTCTCTCTCTCTCTCTCTCTCTTTTTTTTTTCCCTCTCGGTTTCCTATCGATACCGAGTCTCCGCGCCGATTCCGACAGGCACAACACGAACCCGATTAGATTTCTCGTTCGACACGACGATGTTACCTGCTACCTTTTCCGCCATCTTGAACTCTCGTCGAGTGTTGAACTGCTAGGCGAACGGGAAAAGAGAGGAAGAACGCGCGTACGAATTAAAGATGACACGCGTGACAGCGCGCTTCCGATGCAAATCTCTCCTCTCTCCTCTCTTCTCTCGTTACTCTTCTCAATCTCGTTCTTCTCTTTCCTTTTACATTCCTCCCTTTCTCTCTCGGACCGTGTCTCACACGCGTTTACACTCATCGCTCCCGCACCCTTTTCCCAGGCTCCGACGTTTTTTCCGCTTTCTGCGTTTCGTCGAAAGCGATTTTTCCCCCCTTTCTTCTTCCGGCGCATATCGCGTGGATGACGATTCCGAGAAAAAGGAGCGCGCGCGAGGGTTCGAGCAGAACAAGGGGCGAAATCGTCGATGCGTAAATGACCGGCCGATGCTTTTTATTAGCGGTCGAATTCATCCGCGGAACAAAGGCTACGCGGAAGGCATAAATTAAGCGCGCACCGGCCAGGCTTTCGTTCCCCGGTTCCAACCGCCATCGCGATACACCGTGTCTTTTGTTCCCCTGCGTCCCTTTGGCATCGACGCGCTGTATTACAAAATTACGCACCGAGCCAAGCTCGCAGGGAAGCCGCCACGATTTATAGGAGATCCGCGGCTTCATCGTCCAGTATAGTCGTCGTTCTCGCCATTCCTCGAGAGTGAAAGGTGCGCAGCGCCTATCGGTATGACGTTTCGTCTTTCCATCGCCAACGCTATTGTCATCGACTATTTATACGCTCGCGCGGAATTATCTTCGCCTTATCTATATATCAAATTCGATATCAAGGTCCCCCGCTTGAAAAAATCTTCCAATTTTCGTCACGTTTACCACTTCGTCGTGACTCGCGCAATCGGCATACGAAACGTATACACCTATCGCTTCGACGAGTGGTTCGATATTCCAGACTTTCGCCGGTACGATCACGCGTTGTCAGATTTTTAGTTTTATCGCACGCTTCGTGCCTATGGTGGCCTGTAAACGAACGACCGACTCATCCCAAGTCGGTCATACGTGTCTCGGATTATATCGAGCTTAGCTCTCAAACGTTGTTGCGTAGGGTTAAAAATCCCGAAGGAACTTTACGTTTCCAGGCGATGCCATAAACGCCCTTCTTTAACATCCTCCTTTGCATAACTCTTGCAACCGCTACTATTTTCCGCTGAAAAATCGCGTAATACTTCGACAACGTGTACGAAAGTATGGCAAAAAGCCGCGCGTCGATAGCACGCCCGTTTAAAAATGGCGGAAAAGCGCCTCTCGCGCGAGGCACGAGATCGAAGGAAAATTTGTTGCCTGTTCAGTTTCGCGGGTGGAAAGCGGCAACATCCGGTTGCGTTCGTGGAGGACCTGGAAAGCGTTTGTATCCCGTATTTCATCGGGATGGCGGAAAGGAAGTTGCTCAATGATGGCGCGAGCGAGCGAGCGAACGAGCGAGCGAGGAAAAACCAGCGCGTTAATGCTTTGCGTTTTTCGGGAAACGAACGCAATTACACGCTCCTGAGGTTTACCCGACGAGTATCGCGTATTTATGGCTGGCAGGTTCGGCGAATCGGCGAGGAAACGAAAAATCCGCTTGCTCGGTCGCGAGCACACGGACGCGCACGTACACGAGCAACGACGTATCGGGGTAATGACGATGGCGTGTGGAACGCGAACGGAGAACCGGTCGCGAGTGGCACCACCGGGGACACGCTTTCGATGTAACGGAAGTCGGTAATCGTTTTGCGGAAAGTAGTTTCCCAATCGCCACAGAGACGTCTTCTTCTCGCGCGTTTCCCAGACACGCGATCGTCCGCTCGTTTTCCCGGGAGATTTTCGCGAAGAAGAGGGAGAGAGAGAGAGAGAGAGAATTTTGAGGTGAAATAGGAGAGAAAAGAAGTCGCGCGTCTCGGGGAAAGCTGGAGGGCACGTATACTCTGGTCGGGGGGCCTCGGGACTCGGATAATGACAAGCCAGAGAAACAGAACCGTAATTTCGCATGGGGAAAGGGACGCCAGCCATTCTCTCCGCTCTCCGTTCGTTCACGGAATTCGTTAAGACGATTTTCGAAGAGCGAGTATGTAATTCCTAGTACCGGGACTGGTCGAAGCGTAGCACCAAATTGACGACTGCCTGATTAGGGTTCTCGGGAAGCATCGAATACAAACACGAGTGATGTACAACACGGGGATGATCTCTCTGGTCCGCGACGCGTAGCGACTCGGGGAAAGAGAGTGAATTCGCGGAATATTCGAGGAAGGCCTAAATTCCGCGGAAGAACTTTTTCCATTTGGAAACCACAGCGTCGGCTTTGTCCGCTCCGTTTCCTCCAGTCGTTCGGTTGCTTTCGCGAGTTTCGACGTGGTCGCAGCCGAATCCGGAGAGAATTTTCCCTGCCCGGTCTCTCGCTTCGCGTAACGCGATACACGGTACGCGGGCACGTGAACGTCGTGGCAATGCGATGGAATTCGAGGAAAGGCGAAAGATGCAGCGTGTACAGTTGCGGAGGAAGAAAGGAGAGATCCGGTGGTTGCTGCCCCGCTATCGACGCGGATGCAACGTAGGCAAGGTGGTCGATCGACCGCTTTTAGGAAGAAAAAGTTTTCCTCTCGAGACTATAGAGGCGGTTTTGAAGCAGGGATCGGTAGCGGCCGCTGGAACAATGGCAAACGAATTGCGAAAGGTTGCGCGAGAGAGATCCTATCGCGCTGTTTCCAGCCCGTGTTGAAAAATGGAAATGCTTGCGAAATCTGCGTCTATGCGCGCGCACACGCGCCTCCTGTTTTAGCCGGTGTTCCCGAATCCGCGGCCGAGTAGTGGCGCGTTAATTCGCGTAGGAATCGAGGACGATTTCGCGGAACCGCTTCTCTCGTCACCTTGGCGCGCATCCGTCGCGATTACGGAGAAAAGCGCGTCAAAAGCGAACCGAGGCTTCTCGGAAGGCTGTGTGCGCGGCGTAGACGCCCGAGACCGAAACCAGTCCTCGAATCTCCTTCCCCGCGGATTCGAAATTTTTCGCATAGTTCTCGGATCCGCGAGCCTTTCGCGCATTCCCGTTTCGCAACGCGAGGCCGTTTATATCTTTACCTTCGCGTCCAACTGTCTCTCCGCTCGCTTGCCGACTATATTTACCGGTTGCGTGACCCGCGCGCGCGCTGCGGCTCGTTACGTCGCGCGAATTTCTAGCGAATAGCATCATTTCCCAACCACCGCGGTTCTATAATCGTCGGTTTTTCCAGCCTGTCGGATCTCACAGCCGAGCGTACTCGCGTGAATCATCCTCCTCCTCCTCCTCCTTCTCCTCCGGGTCGTCTTTTTTCCTCCCGACTGGT